CTTGAGGCTTTCAAAGAATTCCCAGACCTTGCTGTTTGCAGGTCTGGGATGGTGTGAACTAAACCCTAAACCCTAAACCCTAAACCCTAAACCCTAAACCTTAAACCCTAAACCCTAAACCCTAAGCCAGCTGCCAGGCGTTCGACTCGGCTGCGTTTTCTCGTGGGGGCACGTCGAAGTTCAAGGTCGCTTTCAGTGGTAGCTTTGGTGTCTTGAGGATTTAGGGTTCAGGGTTAGGGTTTAGGGCTTAGGGTTTTCATGTAAGCTGTGTAGAATAATAGCTCTTTATAGGTTTTGGGCCACTAGTTTAGCTACGTTTGGCGGGGGTTGGGTAGATATTAGGGGCTAGCAACCAAGCTGTCGCTCAAAAAAGAAGAGGGCACAGCCTTAACTGTTCCCATTACCGTCCTTATGCTGCTGCCTTCTCTCAGGTCAGAACCTTTCACCAATGCCCTGTGCACAACGGACACACATTACTGCTAGACGCCATGAGCCGCACCCTGGGATGCATTGAGGATGTAGGGTAGGGGTTTGGGCAGTTTGTTCACATATGGTCGTGAGCCTTCGATGTAAGTTCGAAGATAAGACTTGTGCGGTTTCACGGTTACGATATGTTACTCTATAGGTTGCTATAAAACTTACTAAACTATGAGGGCCAATTTCAGGGCTGCTCTGAAGGTCACAAAAAAGTGCTACTTATCCTAATTCTCAAGGTCGCCTTGAGGATTTAGCGGGTTTCGGGTGGGTCTCTGGGCTCGGCAAAGTCTACACCCTACCCAAAGGACCCAACGTACTTATATAATAGAATGTAGGGCTTCTATATATGGGTAGTTGACACAATTAGGGTCCCTTTTGGGGTACCCTAAATAATCGGTGCCATATTATAATAAGGACCCAAAAAGGGACCATAATTTTGACAACCACCCATATATTAGGAATTACTATTATGCTTTATGGAAGCATCCCCCACAACAGGACCCTTTGGGCTGAACCCTAAACCGTGTCAAAGGGTCAAGGTAAACTCTAAGAACTGAGGCCCTTGGAATTGTCATCATGAAGCTTGGAACTTTAATATGATGAAAACCTCCTCTAGTATAGGGTTTAGGGTTTAAGGTTTAGAGTTTAGGGGTTTAGGGTTTAGGGGTTTAGGGTTTAGGGGTAATCATAAGGGTAGTATGAAAAGCAATAAGAAGGAACAGATAATCAAGAGAACTATAAAAAGTAACAGTGGTCGTAATGGGCCTCAAGTTAGTTGTCAGGCCCTGCGAAAGCCCTGCATCAGGCTATAGAGACGCCCCCTATAAAGCAACAACCTACTGTATAGGCTATAGTATAGGGGCCTGAATAATCAGCATAGGGCTAGGGGGCATTTGCTAGAATTGAAAACAGCACCGTAAGGAATACAATTGGTAAACACTGGCAATTAAAATGAAGGAGCTCCAAAAACAATATAGTTCTAGTATCCTGAACCTTCATCGCATAAATTCTAAACCCTGAACCCTGCCTAAGCCCTAAACCCTAAACCCTGAACCGCCAACAAGCCCTAAACCCTGAACCCTAAACCCTGAACCCAACCCATGATCCTCCCTATTGGACGACCCCTGGGCACGGCACTCCAGCAGGCGAACCACTTCTCCACCTTTTCTCGATTTCAAGGATCCTAGGGCTTACCTGGGCCCCAACCGGATGCAGAATAATGGCATTTTGCAGGTTTTGGGCCGTTACTTCCCCTACTTTTTCGGGGGTTGAGGTAGTGTTGAGGGATCTGATTATGGCTCTATCCTAAACCCTAAACCCTAAACCCTAAACCCTAAACCCTAAACCCTAAACCCTAAACCCTAAACCCTAGCTCTCGATTCTAGTCTAGGGCTCCCTCTATGGGTGTAGAGTCCTCGGGGACAGATTACCCGTATGGGGTCCAGTTCGGGGGTTGGGATTTTCAGTTTAGCTTGGGGCTGGGGATTTAGGATTTAGGGTTTAGTTTAGGGTTTAGGGTTTAGGGTCTTGGGGCTGGGGATTTATCTTCCCTGGCTCAGGTTGAAAAGGTGTCTGTGTTGGATGCTCCAGGGAAAGCTCCCTTGAAACCTCGTCCCTGAACCCTCGTCCGTAGTATTCTCATTATAATGCCCTCAACCCCAAACCTTAAACAATAACCCTAAACCCGAAAACCCTAAACCCGAAATCCACCCCACAACTGCCCGGGATCCCGAATCGTCAGAGACTCCCCATA